TATTTTAGAAAATACTAGTATACTAAAACACAGCCAAGACAGGTCACTTTGTAAAGACCAAAGGTTAGTTTTATATTATTGGATACGGTAACATGAGAGCACGGCGGAAAGGTCAATATAATAAAAGTAATAAATATATAATGTTATGGGATTTTATGCTATTTAGTCTAAACATTCATGTTATAATTTGTTGTCATACTAGAATGAAAGAAACATAATTTATATTTATTTCCTAATTTTTTATGTGATTATAATATTGGTCAAATCTTCCAAACCCATACAGAGATTTGTTAGTTAAAATAACAGATAAAATATAGTTTATTTTTAATAAACACTTGATAACTACCTAGACATTATAAAGATTTCGCATGTGAAATTTGAAAATTTTCTGATGCATAAAAGTATTTTTAATCTTAAAATGAAAATTACTTTGCATGTTGGATAGACAACATCCAAAAAGAAAAAATATGGCACGAGAAAAACATTGCTTAAAAAACCTTAAGATTTAATAAAAAATTGATATTTTGCATATGAAAGCATTGTAGTGTTTACTGATAATCTGCTAAAATTTGTGAACATGCGCTTACTAATTTAAAAGTTATAGCATGAAAACTATACCAAACACAAAATGATTATGAGGTCAGTCCCATGGACAGAGCCCATGCTGAAAGAGTTAATTTACCCTCCACTTATCTCGGAGATTTATGTCTTGCTCCTTTGCTTCAACACGATGTCTTTGACACCTCTCCTGGTGATATTGGGCTGTGGGTAACATCAGCCTGATAACAGTCCACCCTTTCAACTTTAGTGGCCCATTTGTCTCAACCAGTCTTTCATGCCACCTATTCCTGTTTCCCATCCTTTACCTGTTCTTTCAAATCCAAGTACTTCTTTTTGTTGAGGTCATCGCTGATGTATCACGTATCGTCCATTGTCAACAGTACTGGTGACTACCCGGTGGGTTTGAAGTCTGTGGGAGCTCGTTTATTGGATTTTCTTCTTTACTGGCTCCCTTTGTTGAGGATCAATGGGTGGCAAAGTTCTTTCTCCTCACCCCATTTCCTTTCCTCCTCAAGATCTTATGACTTGCCAGTGTCTATCAGAAGCAGTTCAGGTTTTGCTTTCACAACTGGCTGTCAGACAGGTTCACCATCCCTTGGATGGTTTTTACTCCCGTCTTTTTGTGGTCCCTAAGAAAACTGGGTATTGGCAACTGGTCATCAATTTGTCGTGCCTCAACTACCTCATTGCACTCCCCTAGTTCACTTTAGAATCCTTTCTCACCGTGAGATGGGCGTTTTCACCAGGATTATGGTCTACTTTTCAAAATAGGGTATCATGGTCACCCATTGCACTGTCCATGGTGGTGATGTTCCTTTGAACTCTCCAATGCATTCTCATCTCCCTTGTTCGAATGGAGTATGGGAGTCCTTGCCACTTTCCAGTTCCAAGCCGCTGGGGTGGTTGACCATGGAGGCAACCTCTTGAACAGGTTCCACGAACATTCCATTCAATCAAGAGTAGGTCAGTGGTGTTCTGCTGGTGTGGATGCGACGTGGCCTCCTGATACTATTTACACTATCACAAGCATTGATCCATCACCTTCCTGGATGATGTGACCTCCTTATACTATTTACGTATTCAACAATATCCACAACCACTGGAGTTGATCTGTCATTTTGTGGAGTTCATCCATCACCTTAATGGTTGACGTGGCATCCTGTTACACATTCCATATCACTTGAAGTTGATCCATCGCACATGCAGTTCACACTTCTTGATTGGAGCCCTCACACTACCTTTGCATGGGCGTCGGTTCCCAGTGTTGAGGTGTTGGATTCGAGTGAACCAATCAACACAAGTACCCAGGAATTAGAGAGGATATTAATCCCCAATTCTTGGGCTGTAATTGAAGACAGTATGATCTTCATCCTACCTTCACATGAATTTCGGTACCTCGTAGAGGAGGTTTTTTGTGTAGTTGACTTGCCCAGTTTGTTCCAACGAGCCCTAGCCACTCTACACTTCACCATTTCTGCCCGTTTGTTTTACAAATTATATATGAATGCCAATTGAATACCTGGTTCAGAAGTGGTGCGGTTCCCCTTCTCTGATCTCCAGTTCTTTTTCTCTCATGGACACGGGTATCCTTAAGATGCTTTCATAGGTGCTTCTGTTATTCCTTCGCACCAGTTGTTCCTCCTTCTCAATGTGGGATTCTAGCTAATCTTGTGAGAGGAGGTAAGTAC